TAGTTTTTATTGAGACTTGTTTGGACTGCCAGTGTGTTTGATAGCATTGTTGTTTTGTTGACTTGTTTGGGTTGTCGATGTATTCGGTAGCATTGTTCTTTGCCTTCTCTCTTCACCATTCGCACTTGTGCTACTCGTCATATCAATGGCAAGTTGGGCATTCATGCTCCATCTTGAGGGGGAGTATTGAAGATTTAGTGGAAGAATCAGTGCAGGAAAATCCTCAAGTAGTTGACGTTTTCTATTATTGAAGATTTACTGTTACTAGAGGAATCAGTGCAGAAAAATCCTCCTTGTTTTCTATTTTCTATCTCTTTCCATTCTCATCATTTCTTTTCCTATATAGAGGAGCCTCCACCATTGTATTGTGTATGACTTGAGAGAGTATTACACAAGTGATGTAGGCCTTTGGGCTTTTTGTGTCGTGAATGTAAGCCTTAGTGGTTGAACTATGTAATATTTATGTGTTCTTGTTTCATTTCTCTCTTCACTTATGTTTTTTTCTTTATAACATGGCATTAGAGCCTAATTTCTCATCCTAGGTTCGAACCCCCTATTTTGGGGTATTTTAGCAGTTGTAATGTTGCTAAGGGTTTCTCGGTGCTATTTGTGACTTGTTTGGGCTACCAGTGTGTTCGATAGGATTGTTCTTCGTCTTTTTCGTGTCTCGACAGTTTTTATTTACTTGTTTGGGCTGCCGATGTGTTCGGTAGCATTGTTCCTCACCTTTGCCGTGTTTCCGGCAATTTTTATTGACTTGTTTGGGCTGTCGATGTGTTCGGTAGCATTATTCTTCGCCTTCTCTCTTCTCTCTTCATCATTTGCACTTGCTGCTACTCGTCATCTCAATGGCAAGTTGGCATTCGTTCTCCAACTTGAGGGGGAGTATTGGAGATTTAATGGAGGAATCAGTGGATGAAAATCCTTGTTTCCTATTATGGAGAAAAATTCTTCTTGTTTTCTATTTTCTATCTTTCCATTCTCATCATTTCTTCTCCTATATAGAGGAGCCTCCACCATTGTCTTGTGTATGAGTTGAGAGAGAATTATAAAAGTGATGTGGCCCTTTGGGCTCTTTGTGCCGTGGATGTAGGCCTAGTGGCTGAACCACGTAATATCTATGTGTTCTTTTTATTTCTCTCTTCACTTATGTTTTATGCTTTGCAACAGGTACTAAGAGATATAGTTTGGTGGCTTTACAGAGAAAACAAATCCCTATAGGATTGATAAGGATTACATGGAAACTAAGTTTGCTCTATAAACATTGGATTGCACCAAGGATCAGGTGTAAGCCCTTCTCAATATAAAATAATTTTTGATGAAACCACAAAACAATTAGAAAGAAACATTTCATTGTGCATGTTGTTTGCAAGACAAACTGAATAGGTAAATTTAATATATGGAAAAATGCATCATATCGAAAGGTTTAAAAATTAGTTAGACAAACTGAATATATGGATTGTAGATTAAAAAAGAGGATATTAATAATACAATGATCACCCTGCAATACCAAAAGATTATCCAAAATGACCATTTACGATATTTAATATTAATTTCACTAATATGAATGGATGGTCCGATATATGGTGATATAATTAGCATAGTTGGCTCCAGTTAGACAAAATGGTGAGAGAGTAGTGGCATTTTATGCGATGAAAAAAATAACATATAGGTTTAATAGGAAAGTTACTAGACCAATTATTTTATATTGAACAAAGTGTTGGGTTTTAAAGGAAAAACAAGAACGATGAATTCATGCAACTAAAAGGAAGATATTAAGATGGATTATGGGAGTTGAATAATTAGAAGAGATACTGTTATTAATCACAGTGAGAGGGAGAAAGTAGGAGTGACTCTTGTTGGTGGTAGAATTAGAGAAAGTAGACTTAGGCGGGATGACATATACAACAATAAACTATAGATGCACTAATAAGATTAGGAAGACTCATTTTTATACAGGGTAAGAGACAGAGAGGGTGACCAAAATTAACATGGGTTGAAGTTACCAAAAATGATTTTAAGAAGTTGAATAGGAATAATGGAAAAAGAGGTTCATGTGACCAACCCCATTCATATGGGATGAGGGCAAGGATGATGATAAATTTACTCCCTTTTTTTTTTGGAAATTAATTTACCCTATTTATTAATATAGACATATGCATTAATTGGTTCGTATCCAGCTGAGTACGCAATGTTTGTTCCGGTGATCATTAAGTAAACACTACTGTTTAATGAACATTTATAATGTTCCGAGTCCTTCTAAAAAGCTTTGTGAGCTTAGAGATTCTTAAGGCCTAAAAGTGCCAATTGGATGAGAGATGTTTACATATTTTGTATCCCTCGCGTTTATATGAAGTTGATGAGGCTTCAAATGTAACAAGCAGTGTCTGAGAGAATGTCATGGAAAACCTAGAACTGAATTGTCTTCTCACAACAACAGATTTTGACCTTCTCCTTGCAACACTGTGGACGTTGACTGGAGATGTATTCAACTCAGCTCAACGAAGTCTTTTCAAAACTATCTTGCCCCTAATGAGTAATGATACACTGCCAGCAATAACTCTTGAGAATGTTTAGTCCCACATCATTTCTGCTAGATAACTCTTGAGAAGGGACTATTAGGTTTTTGTGAGCACATGCCAACCTTGTTTCACAAGAAGTGTGTCATTGAATAATATCATATACAAGAGTTGTGCAATTAACCCAATGAATGGATTTGTGATTGGAACTCTAGAACACCAGCAAAAATACGACCAATTTGCTTGCATGTGTAGATAGGCAATTGGAAATATATCAAGAGGTAACAGGAGTACAGACTTGATAATAGTGCCCTAACTAGCTTTATTTCAACGAAGACCTTAAAATGGTAGGAACGTTGCTTGAGGCTCTGAAATGTTAGATACAATATATCACAAATAGACTTTAAGGGAAGGTAAATAGATCTTTTGCACGCTTTGATAAATTTTACATAATTTCAATTTTATCCAATTCTAATTAATTAGTTAATCATGTTTATGCAAATCATCATCCAATTAAACAATCCGAAACACAAAGCAATAAAGCAAAGTAAATTAGACATGGATTTTTGTGGAAAACTTCAAAGGGGGAAAAACCATAGGCACCACAGATGACACAAATCATCCACTATAATCGGGAGAGTACAACCTTAGGGCTTGACCCAAATAATCCACTATAATCGAGGAGAGTACAACCTTGCTACTCCACTCTTGCTATGCTGATGTCAATTAACAAATTCGCTCCTCACGCAATTTGTTTTTATTCTTCTTCACTCTTGTTATGCTGATGTCAAGTAACAAATTTGCACCTCACGCAATTTATTCTTCTTCTTCTTCCTATTCTTCTTCTCTTCAAGTCGTCAAGAAGATCTTTGTTTGTTTTGAGAACCTTAGTGATGGAAATCGTGAGGGGTGTCGCTCTTACGTCAAACTTTGGCATAGGGACATTCTGTTCATTTTTGTATTCTAATTTATGGGATTATTTATTTATTTATTTATTTAATTGGTATTTCATTTTCTTTAAAATCTAGGGCTTGTTATTTAGGTTTTGCCTATGAAAGACCGCATGTAACAGGACTAATAAGCTTTGATTATTGAATAGTATCATGGTTTTAGAATTCCTTTATTCTGTTCTCCCCTATTATTCTTGATTTCTCTTTCCCTTAGTTTGTCTGGCCTTATCCTTCAATCTATTGTCTCATCCTCTTCGCCTATTTTCTCCCCCCTTTTTATTTTTGGTCCTACATCAACTTGGTATCGAAGTAAAAGATCCAAGTCAATTCCTTTCATTACCGTTTATTGATCTATGCTGTTCATCAATGGAACAAATTGTCTGAAATCAACTATGAACAAAATAACCAAACACACCAACCTAATCGACCAGCCATCAACCCAATTGTTTGCAAGCCTTTGGTCATCATTTGTTGGCACACCTGTCTTCGCTCTCAAACCCGGTCACAATCCATATTATTGAAACCCAATCGAACCAGTTAAAGCTTGAAAAATCTTGTCGTTACCCAAAGTTCTAATAGATTAGGCTACGCAGATCGGTCTTGTGGATATTAATTCTGAAATTAAATTACTTTTTTGAATACCGTTAGTCCTTGGGGGAAAGGGTCATTGACTTGCACAAAGTAAGATATAATGAAGGGCAATTTGCACCCAAAGCTAAACCCAATGGCTAGAGAAACCAGAAAGCGAAGAGGTGTTTTCAAGAGCGACAACGCTTTGACAGTCTATTGTCTCTTAGTTGCTAACTTATAAGAGACTTGGTAGGGAGGATCGACATTATGTTTATTTGCTAAATTTGTGTTTCCATTAGAAGGTATCATTGAAATGCTTAGGTACATAGTTGAGAATATGTAATTTTTCTTGTTACTTTGACTATGTTTTCTTTCTTCAACACAAGTTGTAGAGCATAGATGGTATGGAGTTCTAACTAAGAACCATGGTGAGCAATTCCATGAGGATGGAGCTTCCAACTATAATGCTTGAAGCTTGAAGCATCAATGGAAATGATAAATGGAACTGTCATTTTGGATGTAATAAATTCATTTCACTAACAGCACAATCGGGGTGAGTTGGTAGAGGCACTCCCCTAAGTCTTGTGGGAGCCCAAGTTCAACTCACCCCCCTAGAAAATTGTATATTATATTATATATTATATATATTATATATTATATATATATTGTATACACATCCGGGAACTTTTATCAACTTGATATCCCCAAGTTTTCTCAACTTTTTTCAGTTGGAAATGTGACTGGGCAAGCTTTTCTAAAATATTGGTGGCTCCCTCTGTTTTTGTTGTGTAAAAATAGCATTATTTTACATAGTTTTTTTTTATATTATCTTCGCTGGGTATTCAAACTTATATTCTAGACATCCTCCAGATGAAGAATATATTGTGAAGTTTTGATATTAATAGTATGACACTACTATCAAACGATGTATTGAAGGTTGTGCTATGTCTTCAAATTTCAGGTTCACAAGATGGTTGACCTTTCGCCATTTTCTGATCGAGAGGCGATGTGGTATCTAGAAGTCATAGAGGCATACAGACTTTTCTACCTGCCCCTGTTTGAAGAATGACAAAGGACTGGGAATCCTCTTTGTTTTTTTGTCTTTGTTCTTTTTGAGTAATCTAAGTGATTGAACACTTTCAATGATAGAACCAATTCCGTAAAAAAAAAAAAAAAATGATAATTCCTAGAATATTTAGAATTTCCTGAGATTGCTTCATGCGGAGCTGGTACATGAACTTGATCCACATTAGCTTCCTCACTGAATAGTCGAGTCTGCAACTAAAAGTTACCCAATATGTGATTCTTTAAATGCGCGTTTCCGTACTTACTGATTCCCACCTGAAATGTGTTTGTTGACGCCACATACAAATTGACAATTTGGTAATAAGGTAATAATGAGAGTAAATTGCCAATATAACAAATGAAAAAAAAATCATATTACATGTAACTTCAGCACATCATTAAAGAGAGTATTGTAAATTATACATTATCACTGCAAGTGATCCATGTAAGTATCTTTCAAGGTGATCATTTATACTTCTACACCAAATTTAGTAACCTCTGCTGGTTTTCCATAGTTTTACCAGGAAATGGTCCCTTGTCAACATAAGCCTTAATTCACACCCATCCGTTCCCTCATCTTAACCCAATCCATTCTTTCCATAAGAAAATCCACATCGGGAAACATCTGCCTGATTGAAGAATGATTGTTTTCAGGCTCAGGCCAATTGGATACTGCAATACTCGACTCAGTTGTCTATGACTGAACTTGAAATTGGAGGTGCAAAAGAGCCAGGCGTTCCACATGTCGTAGCCCTAAAAAATAGTGCTCCCAGTAGGGACCAGGGTTGATTGCTCTTGATTGTCGCACTGAAACTTCCTTCTTTGTATTATGGGGAGAGAATTCAGGAGCTATAGGTTTATATGGTCTTCACAAATCTAGAAAGCAGTAGACAATGACAATCAGTAGCATGGAGAACTTTAGAATATGACTAATCCATGGAGCATGTTCCTGCAGCAAAACTGTAAAGAAGTAGAACATTAGAATTTGTTGAATAATCAATTCAAACTGGTTGCCAATAGTTCAATTAATTTGTGATTTCAAGCAAAGCTGAAATTGTAAATATTTAAGCCAAAAAAGTAATGCACGCTTTTAAATCCTTTTACAAAGGATTAAAAAGTACAGCAGACAGTAGAACTAACATAAATATAACCAAACCTCAACATGTTGGGTTGAGTGTCTGGAATTTCTCAATCCAAGTACAAATTAAATCTGACATGAATCAGACGTTTTCCCAAACTGCTGATGATTCATAGTTTTAAATCTCACTATGAATAAATATGTGCCGATTTAAATGCCAAGGGAGTGCAACAATTAGCCAAGGATCCAGATCCGGAAACCAAAGGTCTTGGAACCTCGGGGCCAGCCTCACATGGTTTTCCTATGACTAAAAATTGGCACGTGGAACTGGGGCTGACATGACTGGAAGAGATTAGTCCTACCTGAAGGTGGGGATACCCCTATAGTTGTGCCCCCGGAGGTGGCAACTGGGGCGGGTTTGGGCGGGGGGTACCCTCCCCCGATCCCGTCCAAAACCGTTTAGCGAAACACCCCTCCCGCCCCCACCCCCACCCCCACCCCCAATTAAGATCCCCTGCCCCATCTAAATTAATTTTGATTGAACCTTATATCTATTCTATATGGTAATGATTAAATACCCAAGTTTTTCCTTTAACTCAAGTTTTTATTGAAAAGCTGAGCATTCCAAGTTTGTTAATACTTGCCAAAGCCAGCAAAGAAGAGAGAAAAAGAGCATCAATCTGATTGAAAACTATATTATTTTTTTGTCTTGCTGTGAGATTGAGTTGTGACTCAATGTGTATGGGAAAATCAATGAGCCAAAGATTCTCCATCATTCATCAAACTTTAGAAAAGGGTCAATTTTGAATATATAAATACAAAAACCCTCCGTGGGAATCAAACCAGCCTCTCTATATAGTTCTGTAAAGCTTTATAAATAGAAATATGCACACACTAACTGCTGTCAAGGGCTTATTTGTTATTACTTGTATAATGTTGGGGCTAATGTGTAATATCTGAAACTTGTTATTATAAATAGAATGGTATGATCTACTTTGTTGCTTTCTAGGGTTTGTGCGGTAAGTGTGTGGTTGCTTTTTTATGCATCTCAGAAGACAGTAATCTTTTTAGTTGAAGTTTGTGTTAGAGAAGTGGTTCTCTACGTATTTTGTTGCTGTTTTTGTTTCTGAGGTGGCTTCAAAAGAAACTGGGTCTTCTCCTAGTCTGACTCCAGTATTGGGAGGTAGTAGTGATCACCATCCAAGCCTTTGTATTACGACTGGTAGGCTGGATGAGACGAATTATATGGTGTGGGCTTAATCTGCTCGTATACATATCACTGGTTATAGGATGATCGACCATATCGAAGGGACTGTCACGTATCCCTCCAAAAGCAATCCTTAATTCAAAGAGTGGAGTGCAAATAATGCACTAGTTATGACATGGTTGTTGCAGTCAATGCAGCCTCAGATTAGTGAAAACAGTTAAAGAGCTATGGACAGCTGTGGAAGAGACGTATTCCTCGGTTGGTAATTTTGCAAAACTGTATGAACTCCAACAACAGATTTCAAGATTTAAGCAGGAAGACCAAACTCTTGCTACATATTGCCACACTCTACGTGGTAAATGGGACAAGTTAGATCACTACCAAGACTGCATACCTGTGTGTGCAGCTAATGTTAAAGCATTTCATGCTATGGTAGAAAGGAATCGAATCTATGAATTCTTAGATGGTTTGCATCCGAGATACAAGCATGCCAGGGTACAAGTGTTAGGCAGGTATCCAGCCCTTACTTCTGTTAGAGATGTGTTTTCATATATCCAGGCTAAGGAGAGTAGAATGAAGGCTATGTCTGCACATGTATACACTAAGCTTGAGCCAGAAGTACCATTGTCTGAGAGGTCTGCTCTTGCCACACAACAATGGAACAAGCCCAATCCTCCAAAAGGAGGGAAACAGGATGACAAAAGCAAGTTGAGGTGTGATCATTGTGGGCATACACGCCACCCTAGTGAAACATGCTCGAATCTACAAAGTCGCCCTACTCCAACTCCTGCTAATGCGAATGCTAGGCCAAGGCCTGGTCTATTTAGGGGGTTATCTACGGCACATACTGCAGAGCATGGGACTGCTTGTATTGGTCATGCCTCCTTAGGGCCACCGAGTTCTTTGTCCGAGGCTGAACTTGATGCTGTCCGACATCTACTAGCACAACATTCCTTCGTTTCCACCTCTAACTTCGCTTAGACAGGTACCTCTCATGCGGCATATCAGGTTTCCACATTATCTAGTGGGCCACCTTCGATCATTGATTTAGGAGCCATTGATCACATGACTAGTATGGCATCTGATTTTTCTTCGTACAGTTTATGTTCTGGTAAGGATAAGGTTAGAGTGACTGATGGCACCTTCACCTCCATTGCGGGGAAGGGCACTATTTCTGTCTGTTCTAATCTTACCTTATCCTCTGTTATTTATGTCCCAAAGTTTACCAATAACCCCCTTTCTGTCAATCACATTACAAAAGGCTTGAATTGTAGTGTAACCTTTTTTCCATCTCACTGTGTGTTTCAGGACTTAGACACGGGGAAGACGATTGGAAGTGGACGTGAGGACAATGGCTTGTATTTGCTGAACGCGAGGCCAACTTCTTATCATTTTGCAAATCAATCTAGTGTTAGGAATAATAATGTCAATAAAGATCTGTTAATGCAATGGCATAATAGACTAGGTCATTTACCTCTTCCTGTTTTGAAGCATGTGCTTCCCCGGTTTGCTTCTATTGAATCTTTTGAGTTAAATTGTGAAACATGCGTTCTTTCCAAACAATGTCGTGTTTCTTATCCTACTAGTATTAATAAAAACATAGCTCCTTTGCAGCTTGTTCATTCTGATGTGTGGAGTCCTGAATCTACTTCTTCGTTACTTAGTTTTCGTTACTTTGTTGTGTTTGTTGATGACTTTAGTCGATATACTTGGCTTTATCTTATGAAAACCAAAGATGTTCATTCCATTTTTAAAACCTTTCATAGGATGGTATGTACTCAGTTTGGTTGTCCCCTCAAAATCATTCGATCTGATAATGGAGGAGAGTTTATGTATGGTGGTCTTGCCTCTTTTTTTACTGATAACGGGATTGTCCATCAAACCTCTTGTGTCGATACACCACAACAGAACAATGTAGCTGAAAGAAAACACCGTCATATTACGGAGGTGACCCGTTCTCTTCTAATTGGGATGGGAGTGCCTAAAAGTTATTAAGCTGATGCAACCTTAACAGCTACATATCTTATCAATCGTATGCCTTCTAAGGTTCTTGGTTATCAATCCCCCTTCTCTATCTTACACCATGACACTGCCTTCCCTCCGAAAGTGTTTGGTTATATGTTTGTTATATTTATATTCATCATCACAAGGACAAAATGAACCCTAAGGCAATCCAATGTGTCTTTCTTGGATACTCCGCCACTCAGAAAGGGTATCGATGTTATAACCCTACCACTCGTCATCGCTTTGTCTCTATGGATGTTACATTCTTTGAGTCTGTTCCTTTTTTTTTCCACTGCTTGAGATTCTCTACAGGGGGAGACTACTATACAGGTAAAGAATCCGTTGTCTATTCAGAGGGAATGCCCCATTCCTTTGCCCGTTCCCATTCAGGGGGAGCTTCTTACTGAGGTGCCTATGTCTAGTCCTCGTAACACTAATGATTTACAGTAGGGAAAGCACCAATTGTCTACACTAAAAGGGCAAAAGAAGTTATTAACTCACCCCAGGACCAAGAAGTCTCCCTCAATCCAGGTAATTCCTTAGTTGACATTGATACTCCTGATTCTTTTCCCAATAACATTTCTGTTGATCTTGATGTCCCTATTGCCAATCGTAAGGGTGTTCGTAGTTAAACAAAGCATCCCATACCTCAATTTGTATCCTATTATGCCTTATCTCCAACATATCGTGCTTTCACTTTGTGTATCTCCTCTCTATCTGTTCTTTCTATTGTTTCAGATGCTCTCAGTCAAACTCCATGGAAGAAAGCTATGCTCGAAGAAATGAAGACCCTTGAGAAGAATAATACTTGGGATATTGTTCCATTACCTATGGGTAAGAAACTAGTAGGCTGCAAATGGGTCTACATAATAAAGTATCATGCAGACGAAACAATTGAGAGATATAAAGCTCTGTTAGTTGCAAAGGGCTTCACTCAAACCTATGGAATTGATTATTTGGAAACATTTGCTCCAGTTGCCAAGATGAACTCCATACGTGTTCTTCTTTCTTTGGCAACTACAAATTTATTTGTGTGTTTTCAATCATAAGGGATTGGTTTAGTTGTAAAACTTGAATCTGTCCAAGGTTTAAAGTCAATTCTAGAACACTATTGTGACCATGGGGTTGGGAAGTGGTTACGATTTTGTGCTTGCGTCTTTTGGGAATTCATATATTTTTTCTTTTGCAGTCATTCATTTATTAAGATTAATATCTCATTAAAAATGATATTTTATTTTATTTCAAGGGTTTTCTTTATTTTTTTCAATGGCAATTTTGGGCATCTTATAACATCCCATAATTCATCGTCAAAATATTAATTAGATTGATTTTATTAAAAAGTAATGTAAGCCAATGAAAAGGATATTTTTGAGAAAAATCATTCCATTCCAGATTTAATAATAGTCAATTAAACAATAGAGTGGTAATAATCATTCCATTCCATAACGATTTACCATGTCACACCAAACAATGGAATGAGTATTCTCATTCCATTCCATTCTCATTCTCATTCCATTTCAAGTTGCATTCCATTCCATTCTTGCACACCAAAAGTAGACCTATAGCTTTAATGCATGATAATTAGGTAACTAGGGAAGGCATTTGTAAAATAAAATTAAGAAAAAGACAAACAATCCATGGCCTTGTTGGGAGTGGAAGTGAAAGAATACAAGGAAGAAAGTAGCTTACTCGGTATATTTACGACAGCACTCCAACAATGCGTCAACATTTCCATCATTTACATCATTTCCTCCAATGATATTAGTCTCCTTTACAGAATCCTTTGAGGTAGTCCATGTTGTTAAAATACTAATAATCGCTCTCAACTGCTGCAAAGGTAAAGGGAAACAAGAAGATTGACGGACACACTGATGGGTACATTATGTTAATGAAACCAAAATGAATGGCATTGTTACTGGAATTTCACCCCAATACATATGAAAGGATACAGCTGTAGTTCTAGCATCTACTCTTGCACCAGAAATGATCAAACTCTCATGTTTTTCCTTTGAGCCATCTAACTGGTAATCAAGAAGGTCTTCTTCAATCAGATCTGATTTTCTTACTAATACTGATACATACTGATGCAGACTGGATGCGCTCAACTCACATTCTTGTACTCGAACCAATAGTCTTGTAATTATACTCCAAAGTGCACTTCGTGCTTCTAAATCATCCAAAGCAAAAGGGAATATATCAAGCAGACCCTGTAAGAAAGAGGAATCTGGATGGATACAACGTATCACTCCTTCTAGTTCTCATGATGATAAATCTAAAAACTGAAAAGGACACTATTAGTCCATGAGATTTTGCTGATGAGGGCCACAAAGAGTTTACCCTTTGATATCATTAAAGCTAGCTCAGGTGCATCAGTCAGAATATTTGCTATTAAAACTGCAGCAGTAACACAAGAATTGGCAATCTGCATAAAAAGATGTCACCGTAAATTACAGTAACAATACTCTTGGTTTTAATCAAAGAAAGAAAATACAAATTCCATCAAGAAGACAACAGACTAAGGTGCTGTCTGATAATCCAATTCAACACTTAATGTCGAACAGATTAAGTGCTTGGTAAAATTTGAAGTAACAGAGACTTTTATCACTGAATGTTGAATGCTTAAAATAAAAAAAAACATATCATTTTTTTTTTCAATTTTTTAGTTAGCACTTAAAATTAATCTGTTAAAATTTTCACTTATATCAAGAAACACCTATGGTGATGCTTGATAAAATTGAAAATTAAGTACTGAAATTTTTAAGTGGTCAGAAAATTTGAATTTTTTTTTTTAGCTTTCAGTGATAAATGAAGTCACTATCACTTAAAATTTTACCCCATTCTAATTGGCGCTTACCTTTTTAAGTAATATTCACATTGCATTATCAAACACACTTAATTGGATAAGTGCTTAATACATTCAGAATTAAGTCCTAAATTAGGTTATTAATTGGCACGAAGAAGTACAGACACTTCTAAGGAGCCATCATATATGTGTCATAAATGTGTTGCAACTTGAATGCCAACACTTCTCAGTCACCTCAATGTTTCCATAGTACATAAATAAAATTCATAATTTTGACACATGGCAGACACTTATGGACGTGTATATAGCTAGTTTCTTGGCATAAGGTTTGGAGGTATGTCGAAGAATGGTATGCTTTTTAATGTCATAATGATTATATTCACCATCTTCGGAACTATCCTAACCATGTGACAATTGAATCTTGAAAATTTGAAAAGACTTTCCTTTAGCATAGTAAGAAAAAGTAGATTTGTGAGAAAAATTAGATTAAGGACATTTACAAAATAAATAAAATTTGACTATGTCTACAAAGAGACATAAGAAGGTTATGTTGAAAGATTGGCCATTGACGATCTTTCCTTAGGCTACCCATCGACAGGGAGACTACAGTAACATACGTTTAGAGTGAGAAGAGAGAGGTGTGCAAAGGTTGAATGCATTACAAGACTACAGTAACATACGTTTAGAGTGGAGCACATGGAAGGTTGTTGGGGGTGGGGTGGGGGGGAATATTGTCCTCTGTTGGACTCTTTGTTCCTTTTCAAACTACCTCCACAACAGGAGGTGAGAAGGGTGTTAATGGAAAGTGTTTACTCCATTATTTTTGGCCCAATGGAAAGGCGGCATGTGGCGAGTTTCAATGGAACTTACCATGCTGGATCGCAACTCTAATAAATTATTATTGGAAGCTATGTAATATTATGTAGTAATTGAAAGTGGACCAATACAATCCTACAATGTGGGGTTTTCTATTTTAAAAGGAAAGAGGTGAGTCCTATTAGGACTTACCATTCTTTAAAGCAAGGGCCCACATCTTCCTATATGGAATGAATTTTTCCACACATGACGAGTTTCACTGAGCTTACCATAGTTCTGACCATGGTATATCAATTCTTTTTAAGAGTGATTATCATGGTTTCAATAAAATGGAAACTTACCACGTTTGGTAAGATTAAGGTTGATTCAGCCAGATGAAGGAAAACGTGGGGTTAATAGTCTCCTTATTTTTAGGAGGCTTCAACGACGGTTCAGCCAAGTCAGACAATATTACTAAAAGGAAGGAGACGTGAGAATTTAATTAGTTTATATAAATATATATATGCAAATATATATATTTATTAGACTTAACCCATGATGAAGTAACCACTGTGAAGAAGGAATCTATGACGCCATGAGTTCTAAAATCCAGATGAGGCAAGGTTGAAGGGAAGTTGCTAAGATTAAGGAAGTGGGCCTCAACCACGACCCACGATGTCAATTCAATAGAAGAATGTAAGTTAACCACGACATCGTGAAGGTCAGCCTAAAATGAAGGAGGCATGGTCCATGGAAGAAAATGGTGTGGGATGATTTTTATCAAGGGCTGAACCTTTCCTTCAAAACGGCTGAACCTTCCTTCAGAACGGCGAACCTTTTCCTTTAGAACGACCAACCAGAAGGCCACGATGCCATGAATTCCAAAGCTCAAAAGGAAAGTCTGAAGGAAGGGAAGTTACCAAAGTTCAAGGGACGTGGGTAATTATATATTTCTGGTATATATATATATATATGAAATATTACCCATGATAAGGAAGTCATTGAAAATCAGAGACCACGGCGCCATGAAAGGAAGGTTTTACAGAAGGGAAAGACTAGAAGGAACGTGGGACACTTGGCCAAATATAAACACTTCAGTTGAAAGTGGTGGTACTTCATATAGTAACTACCACTAACTGAGGAAACTGTCGAAGGTTATGGATGACAAGGGTTAAATTAGTAGAATCATGGTCTGAAATAAAGGAGAAGACCACGCATGAGGGAGAAGACTAAGGAAGACATGGGACACGTGGCATGATTCGGACCTTCCAAGTGGAATTTCTCAACTGCTACTGGAAACCGTCACCTTTCCATCTAGGCAATTCCAGAACGTGGGTAAAGGCTTGTAAGCATGCATTCAACCACCAAGACCATTTATCAGTTATAGATCATGGGAGAATATGATTTTACACTTGTCAACATTAAGAGAAGGCTAGAAGATCATGGGGCACTTGGCAGTCCAAAATCTGGCCACGTGGAAATCGCTGGAGTTGCCACATCAAGTTGCTGCATGCATGGAAAGCTCTATAAATAGAGCACTTAGAGCTAGTTTGCAAACCCTATTCAAATCACACAGCAAAAACAACACTTCAAATACTACATTTCATGTCTCTTTACATTCATGTAATGCACTTTCAATATGTTTAATTCAAGTCCTGCACTTATCATTCTTACTTTCCAGCACCTTACTTTGAAGTCTTGCACTTTCAATACTGCTTTCCTTTCCACTAGCCATAGAATAGTCCAAAAGTCCTTTTTCAAGGCAAAAAGAACCTCTGAAGGTGGTAATTCCAGTCCTTCGTACAATCGTCTAATCCCTACAATCTCCTCCTGGATAATTGTTTGGATATCCACTTTGGAACGACAGCAGTTCCTGGCACACCCGACATTCACCCTCCTTTCCTTACTTGGAAAGGACCTTGGTTTTTAAGAGCCGAACAGAAAGAAAAAAGAGTATGGGGCAAAGCCTTTCTACAATTGGATGTCTGGTCATTTAGGGCTAGGTGTATGAGTGCAATGAGGAGCAGCGATCGTCATATTCAGGTGTACGGATTTCCTTTGCACACATGGACCCAGTCTCTCTTTGTGGCTCACAGTGACATCTGTGTGGGGTTCAAGAAGGTTGAGGCTGCTGAAATGGTGGATGCCGCGAAGGTGATCATTACTGTTTACGGCAGGGAAACACCCGGCCATCTTCATGGAGGATGGAAAGAGTCTGCTATCGGATGACTCTAGATGGAGTGATGGACCCAATGTATTAAAATAGATTTGGGTATTGTCCTCTATTGGACACTTTGTTCCTTTTCAAACTACCTCCACAACAGGAGGTGAGAAGGGTGTTAATGGAAAGAAAAAGCGTATGGGGCAAAGCCTTTCTACAATTGGATGTATTGTCATTCAGGGCTAGGTGTATGAGTGCAATGAGGAGCAACGATCATCATATTCAGGTGTACAGATTTCCCTTGCACACATGGACCCAATCTTTCTTTGTGGCTCACAGTGACATCTGTGTGGGGTTCAAGAAGGTTAAGGCTATTGAAATGGTGGATGCCGCGAAGGTGATCATTACTGTTTACGACAGGGGAACACCCTGACGGCCATCTTCATAGAGGATGGAAAGAGTGTTATCGGATGACTCTAGATGGAGTGATGGACCCAATATATTAAAATAGATTTGGGCTTAAATCAATACGAGTTGGGAGATCGGAATGGATTAACACAAGAATATATGGGGTTAGCCATAGTAATGGGAGAAATGGAAAGGGATATGATACAACAAATACCGTGAACCAAGAACACAATCTGTTTGGCTCCTAAAAACTGTGGTCCTTTCGAAGTGCGAAAAGGAGGGTGAACGTCGGGTGTGCCAGGAACTGTTGTCGTTCCAAAGTGGATATCCGAACAATTATCCAGTAGGAGATTGCAGGGATCAGACGATTGTACAAAAAACTGGAATTACCACCTTCGGAGGTTCTTTTTGCCTTGAAAAAGGACTTCTGGACAATTCTATGGCTAGTGGAAAGGAAAGCGGTATTGAAAGTGCAGGACTTCAAAGTAAGGTGCTGGAAGGTAAGAATAATAAGTGCAGGACTTGAATTAAACATATTGAAAGTGCATTACATAAATGTAAAAAGACATGAAATGTAGTAATTGAAGTGTTGTTTTTGCTATGTGATTTGAACAGTCCTTGCAAACTAGCTCTAAGGTTTCTATTTATAGAGCTCTTCCATGCATGTAAACTAATGTGTGGCAACCTTGGCAGTTTCCACTTGTATTGATTTCGAACTGCCAAGTGTCCTATGTTCTCTTGGCAGTTATAACTTCTTCCTTCCATCTTCTTCTATCATATCTTCCACTCTGTCTTCCACGATTTCTTATTCCCTTTCTCCTGCCGTAAATATCTTGCCCTTCAAACACGATTTCATCAGCCTCACTATCCATGATTTACAACAACTTCTCTTCAGTTAGTGGTAGCAGTTGCATGAAATACCACCACCTTCAACTGTCATATCCTTATTTAGCCAAGTATCCCACGATTTCAAAAGTCTTTTCTTCTGCAGAAGTTTCATCTTTGTACAACTATATATATCATGTATATACATAGAAGTTATTTGCAGACCCACATTGCCCTTCTCTTTGATAACCTCTTTCTGTTGAACTTTCCATCCTGGCTTCATGGCGTCGTGGTTACTTTCCATTCTTCCACTAACTTTATATCGTGGGTTATGGAAGTGGCACACTTCCTTGATTTTAGCTTCTATCGGGTTGTTTCTTACATAAATAGATATATCATCCTCCACATTTGTCAATCACATCCCCTTAAC